AAACCGCAAAATGCAAAACAGAACATTTTTATGCATCTTCCCATGGACCCAATGAACCTCCAAAAGAAATTTGGTGAAGATCCATCAATAAGGGTGAAGTAGTGATAAAACTGCACAATGCAAAACAGAACATTTTTATGCATCTTACCATGGACCCAATGAACCTCCAAAACAAATTTGGTGAAGATCCATCCACAGAAAGATCCATCAATAAGGGAGAAGTAGTGATAAAAACCGCACAATGCAAAAAGGAACATTTTTATGCATCTTCCCACGGACCCAATGAACCTCCAAAACAAATTTGGTGAAGATCCATCCACAGAAAGATCCATCAATAAGGGAGAAGTAGTGATAAAAACCGCACAATGCAAAAAGGAACATTTTTATGCATCTTCCCATGGACCCAATGAACCCCCAAAACAAATTTGGTGAAGATCCATCCACTGGAGGTGAGGTAGTGGTAAATTAGGGATGGTTAACACAGATAATCCTCAAGTATTTGTACATCAGTATCCGAAAACAAACAAACCAGGTCTGTGTCGTGGGAAGTGCGAGTAGTGTTTTCGTACAGGGCGCCAACTTGAAGGGGGAGGGGTCGCCGATTGATTAATAAAGCGACCTAACGGCAGATGGGTTGGTTTTGAAATTCGCGCAAAACTACACGAGGGCTATCTACCCTAGCCGTCACTAATTTAGCAGCGAAATACGAATAGTGGGATTGACCGTCACATTATAACGCCCCCACGACTGAAAGGGCGAATATATTTGGTGGGACAAGGAATAGAACCCCAAATTGCAAGTCGAGCGCCCTAACCACCTGTCCAATAATGCATGATAAATGTAAAGCTTATATTCTTACTTTTTAATTAAAGACTAACTATATCTCTTTTTTCTATACGATTACATTCCAAAGATATTTTTATTTTTTTGTTATCATTAGAACAAATTATTAGAAAGATAAAAAAAAACAGGTTTAGATAAACAAATTTGTAACTTTTCTTTTCCTTGAAAGTATATTCTCTTCAGTTTCCGTAGGCACAAACAATTCGTTCTGTAATAATGATAAACTTTTATTGTTGTTTTTACTGTATGTAAAAATATTGACGAAAAGATTATGTATACAATCTACAATAGACTACTTCGTCTTATTGTGACTAGATTGGTTTGTTTTGCTCAAAACAAACTTGTGTAGTAATATGTAGTGAGACCAGTGGCGTAAGTATGCCGCCGCATCCCCCGTATACTTCTTGAGCAGAAGGGAGAGAATCTTTTGTAGTTACGCCACTGAGTAAGACACTGTGACTTCAATAATCATATAAGCCCACTGAAGTAATTAAACACAAAGTTTGACAAATATCGAAAAGCACTACGGGAAAAACTAATGCTAGTAAATTGGGAACAGTGCTTATCTCTACATCAAAAACTAAGCAATGACGGACATTATGACGTGTTCCAAATTTGGGTTAGTTTATATATAGGAAATGATAGAAATGAACGTTTCTTGCGAAGTTGGACAATTTTAACTTTCTTAATTTGTTGCGTTCAGTTGAAGGCTAAGAGACAAAGACATTACCCAGCTTTCTTTCTGTCTTTGTTGAATCTCATGTAAAAGTACGTGACGACTAGGGTGAAGGCAGCTACTCGACTCGTGGGCTACCCTAATCGAATAGTGGGATTTGACCATCACTCCTATAACGCTCCCTCGGCCCCAAAGTACGAAGAGCGATTTTTTTTTCTTTTTTGGAGGGAGCGATAACTGGGCGCGAATCACAGAAGTTTGGATTCACGGCCCGACACAATAAGTAGCTGTTAAGTTGGGTTTGGCGGCCTGTTTCATTACAGAAGGATTAAAAATGAAAGCGTCTCCGTTTTGCAAATTTCAACGACCTCATTTTTCTCACCCACGCATCTCTATCGCTGTATTAAAGAAGTCTTTGCTAATATCGTGAACTTCAGTTATCCGCATCTGAAATACCAAAAAATATATATAAAAACTGCGTGGGTTTAAGCCAGGTGACGTTGGTTTTCGCTGAGCCACTAGCTAGGCGGAGCGTGATATATAACAGGAGGAGGAGGTGCCTACCACGGAATATCATAGATAGACAGACTCACGCGCCGTTGACCAAACTACAATCACACAGCAACTAGACAAGACTCAGGACTTCGTGTCGGTAGATCAAAGTTAGGTGAGAAGACCAGAAAGGTTTCACTTCTAATCTAGAGAAGAAAGGAAAACTGCTACCAGGGTTGCGTTCAACATGAAACCATCCACCCTTCGCAGAGCACCGTTGGTTCTCTTCTTTGTCCTGGCAGGTGAGTCACTAATCCCCGATTTTTATTTAAAATATTATGTATCTAATTAGTTTGCTACTTTCTCAACTTCACGAAATAACACGAGTACAATTATGGCGATATTTTAAAAGAAAACTCTAAAGACAACCTCTACTTGTCGCTCAAAGAACTTTTCATTGTAGGAAATTATGTCTATCTCATAATGTCATATCTTGGCATCGTTTTAGCCTGAGGAATCTTAGTTATGATAAATACTGTAACGGTCTAAAGTGAACATGCCGTTACAATCAGGGTTCATTTTGAACGAAGCGTTATGTTCGTAGTTTTGAAAATTTTGAGTCGACGAAACCTTCAAAGGTTAAGTCCACATTTTCGAACTGTAAAGAAAGTGAATACGATTAATCTAAATTTAATTTCTGGTAACTTAATTCCGCCGAAATTCGCGTTTACTATTAACCTCTTTAATCATTTACAATCATAAAAGAGACTGGAAAAGTAGTGTACAAGTGAAAGACAGCATCTAATTCTTGTACAATGAGTATCACATGGATATATGTTCATCTGTGGCTCAGCAGTATGCTTGGATTTGGGGCTCGAACCCGCCGATGCACATAGCGCAGATAATCATGGCGCAGCAAGCTGCTAAAACATAGATTGATAGATGTTTTGAAAACATGCAAGCCGAAGTACACTTATTATAATGTTGTACAAAAATGTATCATTTCAATTCGTACTTTTTAATATTTCTGAGAGATGTTAAGTGATCACACTAGAAAATGAAACGACCGGTTAAAACCTATTATAAAAGTATCATTTTATTGGATGCGTATAACGTAGTTTAACTATGTAACGGTTATAAACACCGTCACCAACGAGTTTAGTCTTCACGTAAAAAGCTTCGTAACTACATAACTTCACCGAAGTTCAGTCAAGTCACTTTGACTGTAACTCTCTCGTTTATATTTTTAACTTCAAAAAAGACTGATAACACAGGTCTGCAATGGTTTTATTGTCTCTAAATTTTTAACTTCAAAAAAGACTGATAACACAGGTCTGCAATGGTTTTATTGTCTTGAAATTTTTACATGTTCTACAGTAATTCCTGTATGCTGAATCTGAAAATGATATCCATTTTTCTCCATCACGTACAGATTTTTCACAAAACGTTATGC